TGTGTGTGTGTGTGTGTGTGTGTGTGTGTGTGTGTGTGTGTGTGTGTGTGTGTGTGTGTGTGTGTATCGTCACATCATGCATTATGATTCTATGTATTTTACTGATAAAGGTTCTGTGAATTAACGTGTAACTTTTTGTTAAAGGTTAGATGGAGGACTGAGATTCATCTTCTTGCACTGTCTGATCTGAAACTCCATCAGCTGATCACCATGAATGCTTCAAACAACACTCCACTCTGCTACGCCAACACCAGTACCCCATACATGTATGCCCCAGACATGGGCAAAATCTACTTCTCAGCCAGCTTCAGCGCTTTGGGTCTGACCTCTAATCTCATCGCATTCATTGTCCTCATCAAGTCCTGCCAACAAACCAAAAGCCGCTCCCGCTCTTTCTTCCTGATCTTCCTGGCTGGTCTTGTGGTTACAGACTTCATGGGTCTTCTGGTCACAGGCTCATTTGTCATCTCCTTCTACATTACCTGGGTCGATTGGCGCCAGTTCGACCCTACCTGCCACTTCTGCAACTTTATGGGTATGTCGATGGTCTTCTATGGATTATGTCCTCTGCTGCTTGGTGCCACCATGGCAGTGGAGCGCTTCGTTGGCATCAACTGTCCATTTGCACGCTCCACCAATATAACCAAAGGACGGACGGTGTCCATGGTGCTGATGGTGTGGTTTTTTGCTGGCTGCATATCGCTGTTGCCTCTGATAGGGTTTGGTAGCTACCATATTCAGACGCCTGGCTCCTGGTGTTTTCTCAACATCAGCCCGGAGAGGCACGACTGGGCCTTCAGCCTGCTCTTCTCCTTTGTTGGACTGATTTGCATCGCTGTGTCCTTTTTGCTCAACACAGTGAGTCTGGTGACTCTGATTAAAGTGTGCTGTGGACCAGACAGGAATCAGCGGCGCAGAGACCATGAAGTGGAAATGATGGTTCAGCTTATCCTGATTATGACCATCGCTACTGTGTGCTGGTGCCCATTGTTGGTAAGTTTTTAGTCAATTTTTTTTGTTCTACAGTATAAATGATCTAAACTTCCTATCTCTAGATCTTATTTGTGGAAAATAATAACGTGAGACAAGATCATTTCTGGTAAAAGCAGAAAATTGTAAGAATTGTATTTCCAACACTGAATTGACTTGTAGAATATATTTTTCTGGAAAATTAAGCCTATTTAGTCAATCAATCAAGGACCAATCTGTCAGTTTTTACAGAAAAAAATATTCTTATTGAACTATAATTAACCTTTTTCAAATTATATCATGTGCAATGTTTAGAATATACATAACCCAACACATAAGGAAAAAAAGAAACTGTTATTTTTAACTTGTTTATTGCACAAAAAGAAAACCACTACAAGTCTGATTGTTTGTCTTTAAAATAAGAAAAGATTACAGAAAAAGAAAAGATTACAGAAAAAGAAAGTCCATTCTCTGTTGCTCTTTTCACACCGAAATCAAAGATTACAGAAAAATTCAAACTTTACATTTTCATATTACCTTTGGGGCCATATACAGTATTATGTGTGATGTGTAATGAATTTGGGGATGACTCACAGTTGCCTTTATAAATCTGAACTCAGCAGACTTTTTRGATGATTTGTAGCTTCTTGTGATAATTTAGGTTACTGAACACATTTT